CTAGCGGAAAGAGTCGAGTATTTTATATTTGACTTTTTTTAGTTTTATATTTTTTTTTCCTTTTTTTTTCCGAGGGGGTTTTTTTTTTAGGTGAGGAATGATTTTGTGAATTTATATTAAATTTATTGATTTGTAAAAATTTAATGAGATTTATTAATTAATTATTTTTTTTAACGACAAACGTCCAAGGAACATTATCGCGGTCCGAACACCTTACCACCCGGTTCTTCGACTACCATCCCGAGTAGAGCTATGATTAAATATCTCGATCCGAAAGTCCATTACCTCTAGTCGGTATACAAATCAATGTGGAGACCTATCAATACTTTATCTTTTTCTGGGGATTTTTTTTTGAGAGGAAAAATTGTTATCTTGTGAAAGGAGTCACCAAATACCATACTATTCGGTAGAATAAAAAAGATTTATTTGTTTATATAATTATCTATGTTTGGTGAATATTTTGTCTTCGTTTTATTATGTCTTTAATAAATTTCTATTATATAATTATAAATTAAATATAGAAGCTAATAAAGATATAAATAAAATAATTTTTGGTTAAAATAAAATTTAGTGTTAATAATGATAATAATTATTTAAAAAAATTTTGCCGTGTTTCTTCTACTTATTCGGGAGACTAGAGCGAACGTAAAGTCGAGTGACCCAACCTTTCCTTTTACAACTTCTGACCGGCGGCATCAATGATTCTCACTATTAAGCCATCCATACAGCAGGCTGAAATGTTAGGGTGTAATTCATGGTCCATCATGCATCTATTCGGCGAGGTAACCTTCTTTCCCATCTGTTTTTCAAATTTCCTACTCCTGATGTTGCAGCTCCAGTTGTTCTTTCCTTCCTTTTCAATTTCATTATCCTCTTTGGATTTTCTTCGATTAACGTTTCTTCCAATTGGGAGGGATACGTGGCGGAACCTGATATCTCCAGTCATGTTTTATTATCGGAGTTAGAACTACCACGCATCTCCCATATCGCTTTTCCATCTCCCTCAAAGCATATAAGCCATTCTTTTTCGTCTTCACTCGTCTTTTCTTTCTCATGCGGATCTCTATTCCTTCTTAGTCTTATTATTTGAGATTGGACCTTCACTTGACTCCTTGTGATGATTTTCTTTCCATGGCATTAATAAAAATTTGTTTTCTCTTCAGATGGTGTCCGCTTCTAATTCTGATGCTTGCAAATGACTTATTATAACAGGACTCTCTTCTAACTAGATATCCTTACAGATGGTATCATTTTTTTTATTTATTTGATCGGTATCCCTAACCTATTTATACTATGACCATACGAAATTGATTCTTTTTCAGTATAAGGTGGTATAATATCTTCAGCCTCTTCGATCTCACTTGCCACATTAATTGCTCCCCTAACATAATTGTATCCTTAATAGTAGGTATTGATACCATCCTTCCCTTCCAAAATTTATAAACATATGCTAATACTTTTTATTTCAAACTAATAAAGTCCACTTGCCATTGATATTGTTGTTCGGAGGACACGATATAAAATAATGCAAGAAGGCTGGTATGAAGCTTCCTTCATAATTATGATCATCGCTTCAGAAGATAAAACATACCTAATGATATTTATACTATCTGCTGCAATACCTTGAAAATAGTTACTTATTATTTTCATTTTTTTTCTTTATTATTTGTTAGCTTTGGCCAATAACATTCTAGCTATGAATATGTATCTTCTCTTTCTATTTCAAATCTGCATAATGAACATCTTCCCTTTTTTCTTTCGTCTCCATTCACATCCTACTAACTTTTGTAAGATTCATTGTTTTCATTAACTAATGGTTTTTAACCACTCTTCAGTATCATTCTACATCTACTGGTTTTGAGTATTTGTTTATTAGAATCAGAAGTTCCTGCACTAGTTTCTAAAAAAGGTAATGTCTTATTTTGGTGAATGTTTTTCGGTCTAATTGGTTGTCATTATAATTAAGGGTTTTACTTTCGATATATATGAACTTTATCATGAATTTTAATGGCTGTCGCTTCTTGTAAGCATCTTATAGTTACCACTAAATGTTATCTTTATTGATGACTCTGTCACAAATCCAGGACCAGTACTTGTATAACAATAAGTTAGGTCTTCATATTCTCCTTGAGGCATATACGACTACTAACAAACTTTCTTCTCTATTTGCCTGATTTCCAATCCTTTGTCAGAAGTCTCTGTACGATTCTATTATAGATCAACAAATGTTCAATTTAGTTAAGTTTATTAATTATTATTGTGCAAATACAGTTTATTAACTGCCGTTTCTATAATTCTATTCACCACCACTTATAGTATTGGTACAAAAAACTGACAATTAATTTTTATTTAAAATTCTTTAACATCTTAATATTAATTGTTAGGATCCAAGATAGAGGTAGGGCCAAGGTGGTGGTAATCATGTGATTAAATAGTTACTATACATTGATTTTATTTTATATATTGTTTTGCGATAATTATAAGTCTGATATCTATAATTTTTGAATTATAAAAACATAAAACTATGATATAAAAATTACGTAGCATCTTATATAAATACAATTTTTTTAAAAAAAAAGTTTAATTTCTCTCATGATGGTTTGCGAAATTAGCTTTCCAAAAACTCCAGTGGCTTACCAAGACATTGTTAACTATCTTAGTCAAGGAATAATTCCAGATACAATAAATCCAAAAAAACGATGGAAATTCAAACAAACAATAAAACTTTGGCATTTAGAAAATGATATTCTCTATGTCAAACTAGAAAATCAACCACAACGTCGATTTGTACCTACATGGAATACAGAATTTCACCAATCACTTTTTCATCAATTTTATACAAACGATCGTTATATAAACACAAAAGAATGTTTCAATAAAATTTTTATAAATCATATCGGCATTACTAAAAGCGAAGTTTATGAATTAATTCGTGGTTGTGGTGTTTGCAATAGAATAACAACAATTAAAAAAAATGATGATTTAACTCCTATAATAAGCCATGGTCCGATAGAACATCTTCAAATGGATTTAATAGATTTTATAGTGTATAAGGATCCCAATAATGGATTTGCATGGCTTCTCATAATTATTTGTATTTTTTCAAAATTTCTTTGGACAATTTCGCTTAAAACTAAAGAAACTGAAGTTGTTGGAGAGGCATTAGTATCTTTATTTGCTCAATGAAGTGCACCATTGATTTTTCAATCTGATAATGGCAAGGAATTTGTTTTCAATATTATTAAAAATATTTGTAATACTCTTGAAATTACAATTCAACATGGTTAACCATGACATCCACAATCACAGGGACAGATTGAGCAATTAAATCAAACTGTTAAATGCAGACTAACAAAAATGATGTGGAATAAAGAAAATCAAATTCAAAATATTAATTGGAAAGATAATATTTATAAATTTGTCTTTTCATACAATACCACTCGACATACTACTCATGGAAAAACCCCTTGCGAAGTTTTATTTGATTATAAACTTCTTGGAATTTATCAAAAATTAAATCTTGAAGATACAGAAACTGTACAAGAAATAGAAATAGATAACTCACCTGAGTCTCAAGCTAATTATATAGCCACTTTATCACAAGTTATTAGAAAACATCTTGAAGAAATTACTGAAATTCACAATAATGTAAACAATCAACTAGGAAAATTGTGAAATTATATGCTTAAACATTCAAGCATCTATCGTCATACAAACCTCTTTGAGCCTGGTGAAACAGTTGCGATTGCTCCAGATACAGATATGAATCCATCAACTAGGAAACATAAATTAAACACAACTTTTAAAGATACTGGAACAGTTGTTGAAATGACAAATAATAATAAAACTATTATCATTGAAACATCTGAAGGCAATATAGTACGTTATCCTTTAAAAAGAGTTTGTCGTATTAAATAGTATTTTATTAGATTTAATTTCTTATATTATACTGTATATTTTAAAAAAAATAGTATAATATTATAGAGTTATGTAATACTATTTTATATATAATTTTTATTTTATAATATATTAAAAATTATATAAATAAAATTATGATTAATTTAATCACATGATTACCACCACCTTGGCCCTACCTCCATCTTGGACCCTGACATTAATTATAAATTATAACGTGAACTACAAAATATGTTAATGAGTTAATATTTAATCGTAACATCGTTTCTTGTTTCTTGCAATATTAGCTTAATATACTGTGCTGTTTTGACAAAAGAAATTTTAATTCATATCTAGCAATTTTCGTTTGTTTTAAATTTCTTAATAGCAATTTAAACACGCGGTAATTTGTTTTCTTACACTCTAACTGTTGGAATGAGAATGCACCTATCACTGTCATCAAATATATGTTTTTTTTTGAAATCCTTTCCTAGCTAAATTTCTTTTCGCGATTTCAAAACCTTAAAGACTCCTTTTCCGAGATTTGTCTTTCAGTTCATGAACATGAATTATTCAAATAAAAA